AGGGGGGTGCAGCCACTATGGTGGCTTAGGCAGGGAGGAAGCAGATAGACTCAGCGGATACCCAGGAGCTGAAATCAACAGGATTTAGCAACGGAGTAAGGTGAGGTCCCAGAAGAGAGAAGATGGCTCTAGGGCTCGCCTTATGTGGCTGGTTGGCTGAGGCCACCGAGGCCACCGAGAGGCAGGAGAGGTAGCAGGGGAAGCTACTGAGAAGGAAGAAGGTTTGTGGCAGGGGAGGGGAGGGCAGGAGAGAGGAGGTTCAGTTTGGAAGGCTGAATTGGTGGTTATGGATTCCTGGTGGAGGCTAGAGTGAGCAGCGCCCAGATGGAGCTTGGAGTCGGAGATCTCTTAGCACGTGTTCCAGGAACCTCCAGCACCCCGACAGACGTGCCAGGGTAAGCTTCTGGCTTGGACAGGCAGCAGCGGGGCCTGAGCTTGCTCCCTTCCCTAGATCATCTCCAACCTGGGAAGTTCTCCCTGGTTGTCACCAAGGTCTGACGGGGAATGTGTACTCCTGGTGCCTCAGCTTTTTTTTTTTTAATTATTTTAGAAGACTACGTAGTATCTTTCAGTTATAAATTGTTGTCAATTGATTCAATCTTTTAAAAGAAGAAAAAGACAAGTGTCCAACAGAACATGCCTGCAGATCTGCTCTGGTCCTGGTGGCTAGAGGCCTTGGGTTAGAATGAGAAAGGAAACTGAGACAGGATCTCCAAGATCAGGCTTCCTACAAGGTTCTTCAAAAATTCTCCATAACAGGGCCAGGGAGATGGCTTATCAGGTAAAGGCACTGGATGCCAATCATGAGTTCAACCCTCAGAACCCACGTGGGGCAAGGAGAGAAATGATTACCCCAGTCTCCTGACTTCCACAAGCAGGCTATGGATACAAACCCAGCGAAATGTCTCCATTTGCTCTTACAACTACAACACCCATGGTAGTGAGAAAAAAAAAAAAAAATGATGCCCTAAAGTCCAGATCAGTGGGTATAGGGGCGGCCCAGAGAGGAATTCAACAAGGACCGTGAGTCATTTTTGAGGCATACCCAAGTCTATGAGAAACTGAGTGAGGAAGGAGGCGGAAGACAAGGAAGTTTGGTCTAGAAAACTGCAGGAAACCGGAAGCGCAGGCTGGAGAATAAGAGAAAACGCCGCTGCAAGATGGCTGCTGATGGAAGGGAGGATGCCAGCTCCCGAGAAGTTCCCTTTATCCTCCCACAGCACATCTTTCCTCCGCCGCAAGGAAGAGGGATGCGTCGAGTCTCAAGCTTCTGATGGAGCTACATTTGCTACAGGAGCGAGTGGAGCTGATGGGCCTTAAGAGGTCAGTGCACAGGGACGGGATCTCTTCAGGCTCTCCCAGGCTTAAGTGGCGAGAGGAGTGGGGCGGCTCGCTCTAGCGCTCCTTGGAAACTGCCCTGTCCTTCCTGGCCTGGCCCTCCACAAGCTGAGGTCAGCTTGGTGCCAGGCCTGGTGGCACAGGGGCTCCACCTGCCTTCCCCTCGAAGTGCTGGTGCTGGCGGGAAGAATGGGGCGGCGCTCGAGGCGATGTTAGATTTCCTCCCGCCTAAGTGACCACTTCTCATTGGTTTAAGAAGGAATGCTTTGAGGCTTTCTTCCTTCCCCCCCGCCCCAGCCTAGAGGAACTCCACCCTGAAAATATCAGCTGCGGTGGCACTTTTCTTGTCTACTCTCCAAGGGTTCTTTGGGAAATGCGTGCAGGAAAAACAAGAGTTCTGGGCTAACACTGGCCATTGCTTAGCCTCCTCGTCTTCTCCAAAACCATATCACAGTTTCTAGAGTTCCAAGACTGCTGGGGGCCCAACCCTAAGACAAAGACTAGAGTGTGCCCTGGATCCCATAATACAGACAACACTAGTAATCTTAAAAACAAACAAACAAACCTTGTTGTTGCAGGGCACAGCAGGAGAGGAAGACAGAAGCAGGGGAGGCCAGAGAAGCTGAGCTAATGGCACCTGGGTGGGAAGAGCCCAGCGGAAGTACCAAGAGACTTGAACTGACTATCTAGAGCACAGGGGAGGGGTGAGCCTTGGGTAAAGGCTAACAGGAGGAAAAGTGCGTTCCCAAAACAGCTTTAGAATGTCGGTAGCAAAACTTGAGGGATTGCTGCTCCCCTCCCCTCCCCCTTTTCTTCCCCGAGGCAGGGTCTCATTCTACAGTTCAGGCTATCCTCACCAAAGGAACCCACTGCTTCGGTCTCCTAAATGCTGGGCTTGCAGGTGAGCGCAACATGCCCGGCCTAGGTGGCATCGGGGATAATAGCCCAAGGACTTAAGGAGGATGGAGTTTGGGCACCTAATGGGCGGGCAGGTGGCCCCGAGGCTGATGAAGTTGGCTTGGGGCTGCTGATCCCTTCCTGAAGCAGATTCATGTGCTTCACAAGCCACTGACACGCTTCCCACCCACTGGAATACGGCCACGGGGGCACACCATTTGGGGCTGAGCACACCTGTGCCATTAATCCAAGCGTCCATTTACTTACTCTCACGGAGAAACCAAAGCAGCAAGCTTCCTAGATCCCAGGCTGAGCCCCACTCCCATCATCCCCAAGAAGGGGTGGATGTCCCCTGGGGGCGGGGGGGGGGGCTGCCATCAACAGTCATGTTTTTTAAGGTGTGTTCAGGAAGCCTTTGGGAAAAACAGGTTTGGAAAGTCTGGCATAGTACCCCTCTTAGAGATTCAAAATACATTCACAGAGTGAAAGCTGAACAGGAGAAAACTTTCATTTCATTTCAGTGTTTTAAACCACAGACCCTCCCACCCCCAACATATCCACCCACATTCCTGCCTCTCAGAACTGTTCTGGATGATGGGTATAATCCGGTTGAGGTAACTCTGGATATCTCCTTGGTACCCTCAGTGTGGTGGCCATTTAAGCAGCTCTCTCTGGAGGGAGACACAGAGTCTGAGAATAAAGGGAATAACTCATGGCATGGACAGAGTATTTGGAATCTGTGAGAAAACCCACAGTCCAAGAGTCAAGTTAACTCAAGTCCACAGTGTACCCAGCAGGCTGCAGACAACGCCTTATAAGGTGCTCTGACATTTTCTCATGGCCCAGACTGCCCTCCAAAAATATCCAGAGACAGAGTGAGAGTGGGAAAGGACCTCCCGGGGCATTTCAAATAATCACATGCAGGCTGTGCTGCCGAGCCTAGCACCTGCTTGCAGCTACTCCCCCCTCTTCCCTGGTCCCCCAAGCTCTGGGCTGCAGAGGAGGGCGCTGAGGGGAAAAACCCGACCCTCAAAGCCGTACAGCCAAGCTCCTTTCTCTCTGTGCACCTCCAGGATGTGCCCTAAACCTGCCTTTGCTTTATATGGACAATAGATGCGTGACTAATTTTCATCTGTGTGCCTTTCTGCCCCTTAGCCCTGGGCCGAAGCTGTTTTCCCAGGGCTCCTGGAGCCCAGATTGCTTGGGAGGTGCTGCTCCCTAGCGGGAAGGCTTGGCCGCCACAGCGCGGAGGCGGAAATGGCGTTCGGGACTGTTCAACTAGGGTGGCAACAGCAGAGCCACTGGATTCGGTCCAGCCACCGCCACACAGATGTCAAGTGCCCCGAGGAAAGGAGTTTATGCTCTAGGATTAGGACGCTTCCAGGGAACAATGCGTTTTACGACAACAGGTGCTTCAACACAAAACCTCTCACTGTGTTCGGCTTGTTACCCAATGGGGGTCATGGGGCACATTTGCCTTTTGTGGGAAAATTGACTTTAGGTATGGAGATTTTCCCATGTAACACCATGGGTGTTGCTCTAAACTGGGGGGGGGGGGGAGAAAAAACAAGTAGTCCCTCATCTTTTCAAAGAAAGTGTTGGTTAGGAAAACAAAAGAACTTCAAGGCTCTCCCCTGGCCTGGCTCTTAGACGCAGGGAGAGGAATGTTAATAGGTATGGCTATTTTTGGTAATAGTTACAACAGTTTCTTCACTACCAAATGGTCTGACAGCGAGCCAGGCTATTTGTAAGGCTGGGATTTAAAGGACTAGCACTATGATGAATTGCAATGCTAGTTTTTACTCGTTAGAGTGAAGGGACAGAACCCAGCAGCCTTTTCAGAATGCCTTGTGTTTAACAGGCGGCTGCCTAATTACACCAGGCGATTCTTCCACGACGAGGCTCCTGTCTACACAGAGCAGTATAACTGACACCAAGTAGACAACGCCAATCAGAAAGACCCAGCTCCCACCACTACCCTAAAAACAGGAAGGCCACACGTGTGGGCGTGCAGCCTTGACCCCTGACCTTCCTACCTGCTCCTCAGTGTCAGTTTCTAAGAGAAAAACAAAGGACCCTGGCGAGAGAGGGGCAGTCAGCGAGGTGATGGCTCCTTCGGGGTGCCACCATGCTCTTGGGCGGGGACAGTGGTTACCTCTGAGAAAGACTGCAGACTTCGGTGGCAGCGAGGCATTGCTGTGGGCACTGGCGAGGAAGGGGACTGGATAAGCCTGTCCATGGAGACCGTGACCCTGATGGGGGCATCCTAACCAGGAAGAGTTTGACTCTGAGAAGAGTTTGACGCTGTGGAAACCTCCCAGGGTGGTCTAGAATTGGAGCTGTCTTTGGGGGAGACCCTTGAACTTCACATCTAGTTTTCATGGAGGACAAACTGGGCGACAGTTACGTGCAGAGCTGGGGCTCAGCTTAATATCAGAAAGCTAAGAAAATGACCCTACCGCTCCCCGCCCCAGCAAACGAAAACTCCATTGTGGGACCAAGGTTCTTAGCCTTTTCTGATTAGATGTTTTAGACTGCCTCGTTGCTTGGGGGCTGGGGGGTACTCACACCCTTGGTGGCATGTTGGTGGCCTGCCTTGGTGTGCTTGAAAACTAACTGGCAGAAACAACTCAATAAAGTGGGTTTCCTGTGAGTACAGAAACAGTAATATCGGAAACAGATTTTAAAGGCATCAAAGAACAAGATCCATAATGGGATGGGAGTTTCCACATATTCTTGCAACATGGCCCCAGGTCAGACCCAGGCAGAGCACAAACCAGTTTATTTTGGAATGCAACACCTATCAGTGTCTGAGGAGTATGACTTACTACTACATCGACGTCAGATAAAAACAGCTTTCAAGTGCATGCATAGAAAGTGAAGCACAGTTTTTGAGCTCCTTATTTCCAGGTGTACAAAAAATACATTTAAATTATATAATTGTAGTGAATCAAAGACTTATAAAATTACAATTCTGGTTTTCACAACATAGAAAAAATACAAAATGACTATATATATGGTCGTATAATTTTTTTTTTTTTACCCAAATTTCAAAGGAGCAGTGAGGATTGACCTTGATGTCTTCTAATGGTTTATCTGAAACTCAGAACTGCGCATGATTTTCAGGTGGGACCTCAGCAATGCCAGCCTTTTGTCAGAAATGAAAAGACAACACAATTAAGAAGAAGGGCACGCTCGCCTCATCGGCCTCCTGTTCGTTTGCTTTAGAGGGACTTCCCCGTCGGGAGGCCACTGCTTTGTTCCGGGACTAACTCCATGGGGCCTTTGATTATATTGGAGACACACGTGTGAGTGGCGGGCACCTCAGCACAACTCGGATTAACAGCACGAGTCCCCAGACGCTGCGCGCACCTCCAAGACTCCTTCCCTTCCGCAGAGGGGCCCTCAGGAGGATCTGAGCCGCAGTCAAGTGGGTGCTGGGAGGATGCCGTCTCTGACCCTAGCTCTGACAAAATACCCACTGAAAAGCACCTTCCTCGCTCACACCTTGTTAGGTGCGACACCCGGGGAGGCTGGCTGTTCTCAGTTTTATAAAAGAACATGATTACCTCAATGGAGGAATTAATTCATGGTAAGGATGAAAAAGGAAAAAAACAAAAAAACAAAAACAAAAAACCAACCAAAAACCTAAAAGCCAGTTACGGGGAGAGGTGACAGGAGGCCACCTGGATCGGGACCCTTTTTGTGAAGGAAACTGCTGATGGTGTTCTCATCCCTGGAGCTCAGTCTGATGCAGATGTAATAATGAGTTAGAGGGGAAGGCCTGAGGGGTTCCTCGGGCAGCAGGACCTGCTTCTTTCGCCACCTTCAGTGGGCCATTCCAACGCGACTGTAACAGTCCCAAGTCAGGCAGATTACCAAGGCCGAGAAAACCCAGGCTGATTCTGTTTTACAGAAGAAATTCAGTTTGGAGGAATAACAGGGGAGAAAAGGCTGAAAAAGCAACATTTCCCACATATTTGTCTATCAAATACCAGAATAGACTCTGATTTCAACGCAGCCAAACCAAGAATGCTGACTAGAAGCAGAATTCTAATGCTTAGTTTGACAATAACTTATTACACACCTGCCTGCGTTAGCTTTTCAAGCTCCTATGAAAATACCCATTTGCAAATGTAGCTTTTGTTATGTTCTTCTGATTGAAACAATTATATTCTAAATGACAATGGCATGATTTTTAAAGCCTTAAAGATAAACAAAAAAGAAAAAGAGAAGAAAACGAGGGCCTGGATCCTATTAAGAAGGAAGTTTAAAATTGAGTGCACATCTAAACTTGGGCCTGACATTTTCATCTGAAGGTTGCTTTCTATTTCTGAAAGAATAGTTTGTTGAGTGCATTGTGAGGGAGCAATGGGCTGGGCAGTAACTCGAGTTTTGCCTGTCCCCCCTTCCTCAGGGGACTTAATACACGGTTGGGCAATTAGGTGCCATGAAGACATTATTCATTAGACGGCGTCCCTGGTCAGAAACCAGCTGGAGGCTGCGCTGACATGTGGAGACAGGAGACAAGACTGCTCTTAGCTTCTCCTAAAACGTATGTTGTCTCTGCACTTACAACTTGGTGCGAATGAACACAGGACCACAGTCAGGAGAGGAACCTACATAGAAGAGTAGAGGGTTAAACTAAAAAAGTATAGAAACCTATTTCTGAATGCTTGTCTGGGCGATTGTGGTGAAGCCACCCCTTCCAAGTGCCTTTAACTGCAGCTTTCCTCCTCCTGTGTGATGAGATGGGCTCTGGGTCCATCTGTGAGAACACACCCAGCTCTGCGCAAGGGACGAAGGACGGAAGGTGGTCAGCCCTTCGCGGGTACCGAGCTTTCTCCTCTGGCACTGTGGCTCGTCAGATTCTGACTGGAGCCGAGTTCCACACAAGGCTCTTTACAGTACACACACACTTAGTAAATTCAAGCATGGCTCTGAGTGGCAGGCAGTCCTGACTCGATCGAAAACAAATGGAAGGCTTTAGTGGTTTTCTGCTGACACTTGCTACCCAATGCTTCACAGGCATGTACGTCTTGTAACTCATTCACTAGATATGAGGGGCTGGGTCCTAGCCAGAACTTCAGAGCATTCCAGAGCACGAACTGCCGCTTCAAAAGCACAAAGTTTCCAGCATGCCGTCAAGCACTTTGGGAAGGGGATGCTACACTGCGGACTGCAAGCTAACTTTACCGCAAGCTGGGCAGTCAGCTGGTGCCACGTCATTGCTCAGACTGCGACTCTGGAGCACTCAGGGCTCCAGGCCTTTATTTGCCAGCTACATGAAGGACATGGAGGAGACGGGGTGTTGACCCCTTCTAGTGCCATCACAGACTCTGGCAACTTCTGCTTACAGCATGCTGAAAGGACCAGCTAGGATGCTTTAGGTAACAGCCTTTTGCATTTTTATCTTTATTTTTATTTTTTATAAAATCCCAGGCCCACGTGACACTGGATTTTGGTTTTTATTTCGTTTTGTTTTTAATGCTTTAAAAATAGTCCTTACTGGGAACTCAAAAAGTCTGCAGCATTGTCTGATCGTTGAAGAGTCTGGTTTGGGTTGGCGGTGTGGAGAGCTAGTCAAACTTCTTGTGCTCTTCGGCGTGAGAAAGGACCTTTCTTCTCTGGTGGATCATGTGGAAGTACAACTGTGGGAAAACTGGGAGACAAGAACAGAGCAGTGGGTTAGAGGACATGGAACACTCTGTTCACCCGGGGTACTCATGCTGGCGGCTTTCTCGTCCAATCACCAATGGCCACATTCCTCCCTTCAGCTGAGGGGAGGGCTGCATGGTGTGGCATGGCAGACACTATCATCCCAACTGTCACAGTCAAGAGCTGCAGGCCACCAAATAAAAGTCATTATCGTCTGTGCTGGCGAGTGTCACACACGTCTGGCAAGTTTCTCCACTGAGCTGTGTGCCCCGCCTGCCCTGTTCACGCCCTGCTCACCTTCACGTTTATTCTGGTGAATTTCAGGACAACCAGAGAGAGACTGGTGATGGAGTCATTCCTACTTCAGAGGAGGAATTACAGGCACAGAGATGTAAACAACATGCCGAGTCTCACAGAGAACCGGGGCGGACCAGGCTCTGGGCTCCTGAATGCTTAGCCAGCCCGTCTGGGAAGGTAGGAGATAGAAATCACCCGGGGGTGGGGTGGGCGTACACTGCCTGTGAAAGGTGCTCTGTGACTGGCAAGAATGAGGAGGGTGAGGAGGGAGGGCTACACCCTTGACTTAAACATAACGAAGGAGGGTTGGGATGCAGAAAAGCCAGTATAGAAGGGAAGCCAGTATCTTGGCCACCAGGAAAGTCTCCTGGTGTTGGTTCTTAAAAGAGGGACTGTCTTCCCGGAGACATTTGGCAAGGGGGTAGGAGTTATTGGTATTTAGCATATGAAACCAGAGAGGCCAAAATATCCCCAACTAACACCTGTCCACCACAAATGCTTAGTGGGGAAGTGCTGACATGAGCAACCCGGCCTTCATATGGCTACTGCAAGCTGGACATTCAGCCACCACAGGGCTCCATGTGAGTACCTTACCCTCCTTTCCCTTCTCAGGGGTCCCATCTCTGGTTGTCAGGGAGCAGACACCAGAGGGGAGGATGGTTTCTATTATTGCCAACTCTCCTGGGGCCGCCTCTTACTAAATTCCAAACTGATCATTTTCTTCTCTTTTCTTCTCTTCTTTCTTTCTTTCTTTCTTTCTTTCTTTCTTTCTTTCTTTCTTTCTCTTTCTCTCCCCTTTTCTTTTGATACAGGGTTTCTCTGTGTAGCTCTGGCTGTCCTGGAACTCAGAGAGCCACCTGTCTCTGCCTCCTAAAGTGCTGGGATTAAAGGCGTGTGCCACCACACCTAGCTCCAAGTTGATTACATTTTAAACGCTCCTCTCCAAGAACTTCAAGATGTCAGGAGGTGTCTCTGGCGGCCATGCGCACCAGGCCCCGTGCTATTCCAGAGAAGAAGCTACTCACAGAAAAGGTTCAGCTTATACAGAGAAGTCATCAGTGACAGAACTATTTTGGTACGAAAGCCAGAAAATCTGACAAGTTCAATCATCTAAAAACTGGAAGTAAGGATATAATTAAACCATAAGGAGTGCTAATTGTAATCATTTAAAAATGTGGGGCCAGCCACACTGCTTGTTTTCCCTTAAAAGGCACTCTGAGCTAAGCATGGTCAGGACACCTTCCTCGGCTGCACTTGTGACTGTATCACCCACAGAGGTGGTCAGGTCCCAGTGGCTGCTTAAGAGGGTGGCACTGGAGGCCATTCGTTAGGCCCTTCAGTGAAAGCAGTAGACGGCCACCGTGTTCCTTCAGTCCCATGGGAACGAGCCTGAGACTACCAGCATGTGCTGTGGTGCATGGATGGAGGTCATAGGGCAGTCTTGTAGGAGCTGTGTCTCTCTCTTCAGCATGTGGGTTGCAGAGATGCTGCTCAGGTTGCCAGGCTTGACACCTTCACCTACTGAGACATCTTGCTGTCCCAGATGTGGCCCTTTCATTCTATTACAATTCACAGAGGTCCCTAGTGCTCCAGGTTCAGGGATGTGTGTCAGATGACAATGGATGAAAATGGATGCTCTTGGGTTGTTTTCTAGTTGCAGTGGTGACTTCTTGGCAGCCGAAGCACTGATACTTCTAGTTCAGAATGACCATTGTGTTCAGGACAGACAATTCCTGGCACTTTAACTACATCTAGCTGCACTGCTGAAAGCCTTGGAAATATTAACCTGAATAGGCAACTGAGAAATCTACCATTTTCTATTGGTTCTGAACTGGAAAGCAGAAAGTAGGAGGAAAGAAGAGGTAAGGTTAGGAAAGCAGAATTCTGTGGTTGGAGCGATGGGGCAGCTGTGAGAAGCACACCCTTCCCTTTCAGAATACCTGAGTTTGGTTCCCAGCACCCATGTGGGGCAGCTAAAACCATCTTTAAGTATTTCTAGCTTCAGAGGATCTGACGCCTCTGGCCTCCTCAGGGACTTGTACTTTAGAGCATAAACACGTGCCACCCATAACCAGAAGTAAATCTCAGCTGACTCAGTGGATAGAAGTGCTTGCTAAACATGTCTGACAACATGAGTTTCATCCCTAAATCATGTGGAAAGAGAGAACTGGCTCTTTAAACTTGTCCTCCGACCTCTGCATGTGTGCTATGGCATAAGTACATCCACATTTTCCTAACAAATAAATATGGATATAAATGAAAATTAAGTAAATCAGAGTGCCGGGACTGCAGATACAGGCTGGTGGGTCCGTATGTGCCCAAGGCCCTGTGTTAACTTTCAGTAATCCCACTGCTCAAAAAACAAGAGCGGAGGGGCTGGAGAGATGGCTCAGTGGTTAAGAGCACTGTCGGTTCTTCCAAGGGACCCAGGTTCAACTCCCAGCACCCACATGGCAGCTCACAACTGTCTGTACCTCCAGTTCCAGGTGATCTGACACCCTCACACCAATGCACATAAAATAAAGTTAAATAAATTATATATTAAAAAATTTCCATCAAAACAAAACAAAACAAAAACAAGAGCAGAGTTCTGCCACCTCCCAGGGTGCTTGCTCCTCTCTCCCTGAAGGTCAAGATGGAAAACCCTACAGGGCTGGCTGTGTTTTCTACCAGGGGTCCCAGTGTCACGGAGGGCTGCTCATGTCTGACCTGACAGTCCAGCAATAGGACCGCAGGAGGTCTTGGCGAAGCTGGCCACCAGGGAGAGAAGAGTGAGGCTGCCTTGGGAATTGCTCCTGGAAGGACGGCCTTGGCAGCAGTAGTGTGGAAGTCCTTGTAGAGGTGAGTTCATGACACCTTTTCCACCCTTTCTAGTCATTCAGTAGGGGACCCTTTTCCTGCTTATCAGAATAGAAATAAATATTGAGGTGCCCACTGGGGTGCAATTCATCCTGAACAGTAAAATCATTGCTGTGCCTTGCTGCTTTGGAGCTGAGAAAAAAAACAAAGCTCCAGGGCACAAACCTCGAAAGATGAAAAACTCTGCATTTTCATGATTCACATTTTCACTCTTCCAGACTTGCCTTTTGTTTCAACATCCAGCACCTCTTTCGGAAGAGAAACGGCTGTTAGCCACCAGGGTTCTAGCATTTAAGGGAGAGTTTGGTAACGAGTAGAGTGGAAACTGAATCATGAAGCAGGGCTGTGTCCAAGAATTTCTCCAAGATAAACGTTCAGATGAAATCTGGACGGAGTTTATTTTTATTTTTCTCACAATGCGTGAAATGCAATTTTCTACAGAGGGACACAAACATGTCATTTATGATGGCTAGGGTGACTCACTCAGATGATGCCGGGGGGCTAACGAAGTCAATGTTATCCTCGTCTGAACCTTGTGGAGCGTAGGGAACCTCAGAGTTACAGTGGCCACTGACTGTCTAAATGAGCATAGTGTCCTTTTGGAATACGGAAACCAACCAGAGGATACAAGTGAGCAGAGCTGAGAAAAGGACCTCACGACCAGCAACAAGAACTCCCTGGCTGCACTGTGAAATGTCACTTTCTGTTCTGCCCCTGTGTGCTCACAGGCACATCTGATTTTCCGTACATTTAAGCCATCAGAGGTTCTATTAGAATAACTGGAAGCCACACAGAAGGGAACACTGTGTCCTATTCTAAGGGTTTGTACTCAACAAGAAACTGAGAAATGTAGGAAAACAATCATCTGTTTTTTTATTTTCTTACTTGTTTCTCGTCAGCTACTGATCTCTTAAAGTGAAGTAAAACAGCCTATTTTTATATACTGAGTAATGCAAAAATCTTTTTACAATGTTTTGCACAAACTCTTTCAAGAGACAGAAAAATAAAGGGAAGGTAAGGCCTTTAGCGGTTTTCTGCTTTCTACTTCGCCTAACACAGGGTTGACCCCATACCGAGAAGGGATACTTTTTGCAGCTGTACCAAGAAGGATTCCTCTTTATTCAATTACTACCAGAGAAAACTTCCTTCTGGTAGTCAGTGGTCAATAAAAACCAAAGTGTCATGTAAGTGAGGTTTACATTAGATGTGGAGCAAAGACAGAACTCTAGCAGAGCTGACCTTTAGCACGTGAGTATACTTACGTGGAATGTAGGAGATCATTACCAGGATCAGGAATGCATAGTAGTCGAAGGAGAAGTTGTATTTGTTAGGTAGGCTGATGGAGTACAGGCCGGCCTGTCGGACAAAGGGCAGAGCTGCGTATATTGTGAGCAGCTCCCCTGTCACTCCCATCGGGTACAGCACGATGAAAAGGGTGTACCTGAAACAAAAACAAAACCCTCACTGTGGCTCAAAGCCACGCTGAGAAGCACTGTCTTCTCAGAAAGCTATTGTCTCTGTGTTTCCTGATCACCTGTGTGCAGTCAGCCTTTACAAGCCGGATTTTGAAAAGGGCCCATTGTAGGCACGTGTTTCCACTGTTCTAAAGCAAAAGAAATGTGTGCAGCCGGCCTCAAAACCTGCTCCTTCAGAAATGCGTCCTTTAGAACAGCTCTAGAAGGTAGAGCAGGGGCGTTAGACTACAACAAGGCCTTCCCTGGGGGTTGGGAGTGGAGAGGCAGGAGAGGGAACAGCTACCCAGGAATTCCTAGAGCACATGAAACTGCACATGGACTGAAGAGAACAGCACATTACACAACTCCATTCTGCTGGTTCCCAACTGCCTGTACAAGCTACTGTGAAAACAAAATCTTGACTAATTTTAACATTAAAAGAATTCCTAATAGCTTTGAATCTTACAAATAAGCCCACACAAATACAATCACTACTGCATGAGAGGTTTATACAATTGTTTTCACTTAAAAATAAAGTTTTATCTGTTTTAAAAGAATTCAGAGGGGACTGGAGATGGCTTAGTGGTTAAAAGCACTTGTTGCTCTTGAAGAGAACCAGAGTTCAATTCCTAGCACACACATGGTGACTTATAGCCATTCATAATTGCAGTTCCAAGAGATCCAAAACCCTCTTCTGATAGACCCTGAAGGCACCAGGCACGCGTGTGCACACACACACACGCCTGCAGGTAAAACATTCACACACATTAAACAAACAAAAAGGAATTCAGAGGGCAGTTACCACTAGCACAGGATGGGGCTACAGACTGTTCTGAGAACTGTCAGCTCCGATTTAAGAAACCTGTGCCTGGTCGTGGCTCAAGATTAACCTGGGTTCAACCTCCAGGCACAAGAATCTGTCGAGAAAGAAACCATACTTCCTGTTGTCAACCTAGATCATTAGGTAGGACAACGGGAGGGAATTGTCCGTAGACCACAGAGAAAAATGATCCAAAGAGCAAAACCACGGCCTAGTCAATAACTGTCCTCACAGACAAACAGGCTTCATGCTGGCGGTGCAGGCTGGATGGTGGCTGTTAGTTTTCCCTTTTTCCTGAATATACTTTATTTCAAAAAATAGTAATAAAAGCAAAAAGGCTCAGATACCCAAAATGTTGGAAACTGCATTCTGTTCCTAATTTAATCACTGAGCTCATAAACTGTCTAGCAACAGCTGTTTTCTTTCTAGGAAATGAGGTGTCTTAGCTTCAAAGTCAGTTTGGTCCTTTTTGCTCTGTTCTCCTTACCCCATAGTCCTTCATGCACAAAATCACAACTGGATAAACAGATGTGCTAACAGCCTTTTGCCTAAGTTATAATTCAATTTTGTTATTGTTGTCGAGAACAGAGTCTCATTCTGTGGCCAGATGTGTGGCAATTCTCCTGCCTCAGCCTCCCAAGTTTTGGGGTTACAAAGGGGTGAACCTGAATTCTTAATTGAATATTACTGGTAAAAGTAAGTAAAGCAAAATAAAACTCATAAGCTGAGAAAACCATGTAATGTTTGTTATTAAGTAAAAATGTTCTTAAACGTCATAGTTTCTTGACAAAACAAGACTAGGAGATGTAGTCATGAATCAGAAATCAGCATAATGGGATAAGTTCATCAGCTAAACTGAATAAGGACAAAAACTGATCTATTAAATAACTTAACTGAAAAGAACTGATTTCAGGAAAAGTAATCTAAGTAAAATATAAAGACTTTAGAACAGTGTTTCTCTAGGTCAAAGTCAAAACCCTGCTTGTGAAATCCCTCCATCACATCTAATTTCAGTTTTGGGAAGCTGGAGGCAGTATTCAGGCCGTACAAGGCAAATGGTGATGGGTACTTTGGAAGTTAGTCTTTGCTGTCTATGCTTCTTTACCTGGCCCATTTGATGATGTAAGGCAAATGGTTTAGTAGACTGAATGTGTAAAAGGAGTAACGGATAATTTCTGTGATTGTCCAGGCAATAACAAACAGAAGGACACTGTCTTCACTCTGCACCTGCAGGAAAAGAAAAGAGATGTAAGAGCAAACAGAGGGACGTGCGGAAAGAGGCATTTTCCAGTGCGCAGTGCCTGCAGGGTGCCCAGCCACAGCTACCCATCTCTGTCCTCAGCGGCTGCTGCACAGCCTAGAAAGGGCTTCTGATCACAGACATGGCTCCCTACAACAGTTCTTAGCTGCAGGGGACTGGACGCTCAGCTTGTGGAGCAGCAGGAGCTGCTGGGACGGGGGAACTGGATGCGCAGGATCCCTCAGCAGGCAAGCAGGCGTCTTTGCTATTCTGATGAGGGAAAGTGAGGTGACGGTGGTGGGAGTCAAAAGTAGGTAGGGAGGGAGGCTAGGGGGACAAGCTGGTGGGAAGCTGGGGATCCACCACCACGAATCTGAACACAGTGTGGTGTGACAGCTGGGAATCTGAGGACACTTCAAGAATGAGAATGTGGGGACTAACGTAGAGGTGAGTTGGAGGAACTCAAGAAGAGGTATGGACCATCCACCAGGCAGGTATTAATGCTTTCTTCCCTGAGCCCAAGCTTACGCCCTCCATGAGAAAAGCTGCCTTGCCACTCACAGGTGGCCGCTAGAACCAGGAGAGTTTTCACACTGCCTGTTTTTATGCTGTAAAGTCCCCTCTGTGTTTTATAGGCGCCCCTGGGGAATTTATGGCTGTAATACAAACTCCAGCACCCTTCCGTCCCACTCTAGCTGGTTTTTTATGATCATTTGTGAGCAAAGCCCAACAGTGGCAACCCTGCACTGTGACTCAATTTTGGTTCCCCATGTCCTATGTGGCTGGTGAGTTGGACCTGAGTTAAGAAATCCTACCCAGCGAACTGAGCAGACCAGCCTGCACTGTGCCTTCTCTGTCTCGTCCCAACACCTAGCAGCAAAGGTGCAGCCTAGCGGCCTTCACGTTTGCTGCTTTCCATCTGCAGAGCACTCACTCTCTTTCAGAAAGTGTACACGGAACGATCCACCTACACGGTGAAATAAGCAGTCATTTACATAGCTATTAACTAAATTGCCCTGACAAAGAACTTCATAAATGCATGGGTACTATTCTCTAAAAATAATAAGAATTTTATACTGTCAAGAGCAGGAGTACTTTTTGCTTTCCTGGTGCTTTTCTATTAGCCCCGGCCAGGCCAGAGTGAAGTGCCTTTAAAGCTTGTGCTGAGGGCCTCAGTGTGCCCATGAAGCTCTGCTTAAAGCCTATTGATGCCAAAAATCTCACTTTGCAGGACATGCTGCTTTTCATGGGCTTTGTAACCCTCTTTATCTGGCAGGGATGTATGTTTTTTATTGACTTATTTTATTACTTTTTTTTTTTTTTTTTTTACAGCTATGGCTAAAACCTTGCTTAAAGCCTCCAGGTAGGAAGTGCCTCCAGTGTTTTGTACTCTTGGAAGTACAGTGTATTTTAACTTGTTTTTTGATTTCCCAAAGCACTTGAGGCTTTTCTCAGGAAAAGGGATCCAACCTCTCAGCTCACTCTAAGACCAAGTCCCTTTCTTTTTAATACCTAATATTGGTTTGTGTCATCTTAGTGGCTTGCACACAGATAGGTAATAAGTCGATAAATCCCAAAGATCTCACTTTGGCCTAGCAAAGCAGGTGGCTTGAAGGAAGAGACAGCTTTTACACAGTTTGTGGTTGCTTACTTCTCTTTAAAAGGTTGGGACTAGGGGAATGGCCATGTTGTATATTTAAAACTGCAAATCGATAATAAATTCATCCTTTTTGGGGAGGCAGAAGCAGGCAGATCTCTGTGAGTTTGAGACTAGCCTGGTCTACAAAGCGAGTCCAGGACAAGCAAGGCTACAAAGAGAAACCCTGTTATTAAGAAGGGATTTGGGGAGCAAGAGAGATGGCTTAGAGGTTAAGAGCACTTCCAGAGGGCCTAGGTTCAATTCCAAGCACCTACGTTCTTAACACCAGTTTCAGGGGCTCCGATGCCATTTTCTGTCCTCGTTGGCACCAGGCACTCACACGGTACACAAACATACATTCAGTCAACACACCTACCCACATAAAATAAAATTAAAATTAAAAAAGAAGAGATTTAGATAAAGTTAGAGGTCAATCTTTCTGATTCGCAGATAACTGTTCAATTAACACAGAACAAGGGCAGAATATGATGACAGGAGCACCAACAAGACTTAAATTGGCATCCATAAGTCAAGTCACAACTGTATTAGTCACAACAGTTAAAAGATGGATGAAAGCCAAGAGTACATCCGTGGATGAATGCACCAACAACTACATGCATATGTAAAATAGTACCTGTAAAATAGTACCAAGCCTTAAGAAAACCCTTCCACATGTTAAAGGTTCCACACCTTAAAGATTATTTTCAGTTAAACACGCCATTCATAAGGGACAAAGACTGTGTGGTTCCGCAAACATGTAGCATGTGAGTAGTCAAACTCAGTGATAAGTAAAGATAGAATACTGCTATGATGTGGGCAGGAAAAACAAAACAAAACAAAACAAAACAAAACAAAAAAAACCCTGTTTAACTGGTTTGAGCTTCAGTTTGGGAAGGTGAAAATTCTGCAGATGGAAGGCAGTTATGAGAATGCACTTAAGGTAACTGAATTGTACACTCAAAAATGATCAAAATGGTAAATGTCATAGATATTTTGCCACAATAAAAATAAGTTAAATACCTCATTATGTCAAAATCAACCGAAAAAGACATGTAATGTCTCCCATAATTCAACAAAATGACTTCAGTACAGACTGAAGAATGCCCTGGCTTATGAACCCCAGAGATGGGAGTCAACAGGGTGTGAGGGATTACAAGACACAGTCAGAATTCAGCTGCTGGAGTCCTGTCCCTATGGCTGCAGTCTAAATAGATCAGACCCCAGCTAGGGAGCAATCTATCAAAAGAATGCTTGAGCTAGCTAGCCCGGAAAAGGGAGCAGAGGGCATGTACTTTAAAGTATGTCAAAAAGGACACTGTTAATATGAGACTAACGGATAAAAGCAGAAGGAATGAGATGCTGGTCTGAAATCATAAAACTGACATAACAAACCAGCTAGCCAAAAACACCTGCTACCTCTTGAAGCTGCAGGATTCTGGGCCTTGGACTTAAATCCAAACCAAGGCCAAGAACAAGAGAGAATCCTACAGAGAATGGGTGAGCTGAATGAGAGCTGGCAAGGGTGTCCTGTGCAGTGCCTTAGAAAAAAGATGGTGCAACCTTGGTTTGGAAAGTCACTAGATGGAAGAGGCTTCAGGTAGACCCAAACGTAACAGGACAAAACAAAAACAATGAAATGATTACTAATGGGTTTCTCCTATACTCATAGATTAGTGATCATCTGAGGGGCTTCCTCTGGCAGCAGATGAAAGCAGATGCAAAGACCCAAAGCTAGAAATTGTGCAGAGAGAGTCTAAATTGGAGGTCTCTATTGGGGCCCTTCCCTTGGAGCACAGAGGAACCCGAACAGGGGGAGGAAAGACTGTAGGAGTGAGAGGGGGTGGAGAAGAACACAGCACACGGAATCAACTAAGCAGGGCTCATCTGGGCTCACAGAGACTGAAGTGGCAAGCACGGGGTCTGAATGGGTTCTACACCAGGTCCTCTGTATATATGTTGTGACTGTTAGCTTGGTGATTTTGTGGGATATTCCTAACACTGGGAGGGCGTCAGGTATGTGTCTGATTCTTCTGCCTGCTCTTGGGACTCTTTTCCTTCTCTTAGGTTGCTTTGTCCGGTTTCAGTGTGAGGGCTTTTGCCTTGTCTTACTGTATCTTCTTCTGTCATGTTTGGTCTCTTGGAGGCCTGCTCCTTTCAGAAGAAAAATGGAGAGGGAGTAGATCTGGGTGAGAGGACAAGTTGGGGGGAGATGGGAGGAGTGGAGGAAAGGGAAACTGTGGTCGGGATGTATATGAGGAAAGAACCTATTAAAAAGAGAGAGAGAGATATTAAGAGGTTTAATGCTGAGTATGGTAGTATAGACTTATAATCCCAGCACTCAGAAGGCCGAGGCAGGAGTATCATGAATTTGAGGTCAGTTTGTTACATAACAAGTTTTTTTTTAGAAAAAAAAAAAAAAAAAAAAAAAAAAAAAAAAAAAAAAAAAAAAAAAGAAAAGGGTTGCATGCAAATACTAACAGAAGTATCATGATCCATGATTGTGAAAAAACTTACAACAGCTGAAATATCCATTAGCTGGTAATAGATGATATATTCACACAACAAAATATGGTTCAGCAACATTAAGGAAAGAACTTAGTATGTACTATAACACAGATGAGTTCAAACAAACAAACAAACAAACAAACAAACAAACAAACAAACAAACGTCTTCACACTGTGTAAAAGAAGCCAAGTGTAAATGCCCACTGTCTAGAGATGGCATTTCCAGAGAGAGAAGGGTTAGTGGTGGCTATGGCTGGGAGCACCCACCAGTGAACTGGAAAAGGGCATAAAGCACCACGTTATAGTGATGAAAATGTTCCAAAACTTATTAAGCTATGCTGGTTGCACAACTTGCTAAATTTACTAAAAAGTAGTAGATCTCTAAAACGGTTGAGTTTTTAAAAATTGCAATTTTAAAAATTAATAAAGTTGTTTTCAAAAACAAGATTTTCTGTAAATAAATAGTATTGACTTTCAAGTGTGAAAAGGGTCACATGAGCAAAAGGGGAAAAGGGTGATAATTGGGATTCATTGAGGCTGAGAAGGGACAGATGGCAGGGTTAGCGTAGGCATCCTGATGACTTTTTTCTTAAACACAGGATCCTAGGCTGGCCTCAGACTCTCTATGTGGCTGAACATGACCTTGAATTTCGGAGGCTGACTGCATCTCCTGGGTACTGGATTATAGGCATGCGCCACCATATTGGTTTACACAGTGCTGGGGGTTGAATTGATGGCTCTGCATGTGCTAGGCAAACGATATGTTAACTGAGCACTTCCCTGTCCCCCAAGTGTCTTGCAGGCAGCTGTGTTTCAGAGCTGTACTCTCATGATGAGGGCCCA